GCTTATGGTCCTGGAGAGGAGAAAACTCTGGGGGCTCCTGCAAGTCAAGGAGCTTACGAGGTGGGGGTGGGGGGATGTGCAGCAGAGTCCCTGGCCTTAGATGGAGTTCCCATCAGCCTCGGTGTTACCTGTGTTCAGGGGCATTTTTCTGAAAATAGTTCATGGAGGTCTTTCTTCCTAGCCTTCCTAGTTCTTTGCTTTTAGGATAGGTGAATTGATGCAGTGTTGGATATTGTGAGGGTCCCATGAGGGGATGAGCATGCACTTTGTCTACAATGAGGCACCATACATACCAGAGTAACTCAGCCCAGGGAGTCCGGTTCCAGAGTCATCATGTAAGCAAGAGTATGAACGTTGTCCTTGAAAATCCCTTCGGAGGGAGTCTTGGTGGTGACCAACAAGTTGAGTCTCCTTGAATCCTGCACAGCCCACCCATTTCCCCAAGCTTCGCAATAGGTTAGTCCTTGGGTGGGAGAGGTGCTCACCTCTAGAGGCTGGCAGTACCCATGTCCTGCCTGGTGTGGAATGGTGTGCACCATTTATATGGTTATTTTTATTTCTTTTCTTCAAATAAGAAACAAGTGTTTTGCCCAGGGGAAAGGCATGTAGAAGCAATTCCTCTGTTACTGATATACACTTAAAACCCTCTTCAAAAAGTCTTCTTTAAATATGTATGAAACGATGCAAATAAATACATGGAAACATTACTATTAAAAATTGTTTTAATACAGTGAGTAAAAGAGCCCTTCAACTCCTTTCCCACCTCAGTATAAGAAGTGTCATATCACTTTTATTGTTCAATGGACTGCGTTTTTCACTTAACTTTAACAGTCTGTTTCCAGTGGTAGAATCTTTGCCGTCTATGTAGAAGGCCGGGGTTGGATACCCAGCTAAATCACCTCATGCACAGCCCTCACTCTCACCTGTCAGTGCAGGCTCCATGCTGCTGTGATGCTAAGCAGGTTTCAGAGGAGCTTCTAAACTAAGATGGATGAAGAAAGAAGGCCTGGTGATTGGCTTCTGAAAAACTTAGGGATCACAGCAGTCCAGTCTGCAGCTGATCATGGGGTAGCACAGGACCCCAGGCAGGATTTGCATTAATTCACAACTTATGGTGGGGGTACCATGAGTCTGGGACCCACACAACAGCAGTTAACAACATCTGTAGAGATATTTTGTTCATGGAATTTTATTTATTCCATAGTATATGTGTGACTTAGTTATTTTAAGGAAGAGTGTAGAAGAAGTGATGCTTTTGAGTTATGGTGTTGGAGGAGAATATTGAAAGTGCCATGGGCTG